AATTAAAAAACAATATTAGTACTATATTAGTGTATATTAGATGGTCAGTGTATCTAGTATAAAAATAGATAATATTAAGAATTGGGTATGATATTTTGCAAAAAAAGCCATAAAAAATATATTGAAAATAGTTTGTTCATTTCTAAACCTCTGGTCAGTAATTTAATGAAATATCTGTATTGTTTTGTTTAGAATGTTTGGAGCCATTTTGACCCAAACAAATAATGTATTAAAAAGTTGAACTTACTTTTTTTCGTATCTGGTCCGTCTTCTGTGTGGTGTAGCCACCTTTTTGAAATGTTGATTGTTATTGTAAGATTTATAAACGTGCAGTACTGTAGGTGTGGATACCACTCATGAAAACCTTGTTTATGTACAGTATGTAGTCATGTGACAAATTACATGTCCTGATACACTGTACTTTTAATATACTTTTTCCTGCTTTTGTTAACTGCTCTCTTTAAGGTCATATTCTATAAGGATTGTTACCCATATCAAAACTTACAAATACGGGCTAGATATCTCGAATGAGCTACAGTATATGATAATGTTAATCTAAATTCACAAAATGTTATCAAAGGAAGCTTGAATTAGATGATATAAGTTACATATTAATGAAAACATTATTTACAATTACTTTGCATTATTTATTTTTTTTAAATGTTATGTTTAAGGAGTAGTACATGATTGTAGACACCTTCCGGTTAGTGAAGGGTGCTTTATTTTTGGTAGCTTCCCTTTATTGTTACCGTTGCATGTCAACAGTAAGGCATTTGAGGGGCGTGTTCCATTCCAGGGACTACCTTCTTAGAGGTACTGACAATTGTGGGTGACTCCATTTGAATTCAAATCTCAATTTTTTTTTGCTGTTCTGCATACATTATCCTGTTCGTTTTATGTAGAGTCTGTGTGTTTGTACAGTATGTCTTTTATGTACAGTACAGTATATGTGTGTCAGTAACTCATAAGCAAATCAGTTTTTTGACCTGCACTGCACTTGCCCATTTTTCTACAGATTTTCTTTAAAAATGTCAACTCTATTGTTCAGTACTGTAGCATGTTCCGGTTGCATTTTCAGAATTTTTTTCTCATTATCTAATTAATTATTCCATTCTGTAAGTGGTTGGATGTGATCTGAAATGAAATGAAAATAAAATAACGCTTAAAAACATTTCACTGGCTTGCGAACAGATCACGAGATTTCGAGTTTACCTGTAGCTGGCTCAATCGGGAAATCTGCACAAGATGGTACTGTAGGAATACTAATCAATTTTGTATCTTACAGTACCTTTATATAGTATCTGGGACAGTATTCTAACACAACGTTTAACTACATACCGGTATTATATTTTATTTATGTGTATGTTGAACCTTGGAAAAAGAATTTCATGTAAAACTTTTACTTGACAATGATAAGGACTTGAATTTGAATCCTACATAACAAAGTTGTATGAATGTGACTCCAGGAATCATCATCATCAGGAATTGAGTGAACAATAACGTCCACTGAATAGCATTAGCAGGAAATCCTCTCAAATGGAATTTCAATTCAGGCTAAAAGTTTTCCTCTGTATAATTCTGGAAATCCTATTTATTACTTCCATATACAATTGTTATAAGTTAATCTATTTTTTCTGTGCTGAGGATGTAGGATGTGTACACTTTACACCTTCTATTTTTGTTTTTATTAAAATCTCCCCTCAAATATGTGACCGGCTCTAGCAAAACCTGCCCTTGTCTCAACTTTTCGCTCAGGCACTCAAACGTTTTAGAATCAGAATTTTTAAACATTTCCAGGTTTTTGCATTTTATAAATATTGAAGAACATTTTTTGCAAAATACCAATCACTAAATATAACTGAAAAGTATATTAAAATTATTTTTAAAATACAAATCTTAACCCTTACAGTACGCTGCCAGCTCTTTTCTTCTTCAGTCAACCAGAGCGCCAGCTGATAACATTACCTCTAATCCCCTGTGCCAGCTAATTATTTAACAAGGTCACTGTAATGCTTATTTTTGATAGTGTATATTATTTGCTCAATAATTCGTAAACTATTCAGATTATGAAAATATAAATCTAAAAGCAATTAATCAGCATTAGTTGGTTTGTACATATATGCTTTTATTTCTGCATTTTATTTATTATTTAGTGAATAAATGATAGGAATATTTTGGCAAGGCCTATCACAAATAGTATATTGGGCCTAGGCCTATATAGCAGAGTATGTGTTTTCAGTCAAATTACTTGCTGATGAAAATCAAAATAACAAATCCTAGGCCTACGTATATTTACTAACATTACCATCACAGTCCAGGCCTAGCTAGGCCTAGGACCAGAACTCTTTATTATCCAGCAGAGCTGTAAAAACTACAAAAGAATAAAGTTTCTCAACATTTCAAAACATCATATTTTTTTAAAAAACTCACACTTCTAACAAAAAAACACCCAGCAAGTTTCACAACAAAATGTGCAGAAATTCATTAGCTTTCATATACAGTAAACACTATTTGGGTTAGTGTTAAAACAGCCACTCTATGGTCGTTTTTTTAAAGACCTTCACCAATTCGCATTTATGCGAAAGGTGGCGTACGGGTGACAGTGAGCCTAATCGCATTTATGTGAAACTAGCATGCACACCAACTGTGCTGCGTTCCAAATTGAATTAACCGTTTTTAAAAAACATGTTTTTGATGTTATTCTGCAGAAACAGGTCCTTATAGTACTTTAAGGTTTAATAACTTATTACATTTCTTGTGAACTTCATTTTTATTATTTTGTAAAAAATGTTTTTGCAGGGTGATAAACGATTGATTGATTGATAGACAGCTTTTGGACAAAAGAAAATATGCGTTCTCTGCAGACTGCTGATTGGACGTCTTCCCTAGTTCCATTCAATCCGGCATCGCTCCAGAGTCTGGAACGGCAGTTTGGGAAGGGAAGCCAAATGGGAGCGACCATCTATGGAGGAACCTCTGACAGTAAGATCTGATTTAGAGTTATTTTATTATTTTACTTTCTTTAACTGTGTATAGTTATTGGTTATACTGTACTCACGGTTTGAGTGCGCTCTGGAGGATCGTGCAAATGCTTTGTAAAGAAATAGGCTATACACAGTGTTTTGTGTAAAATTAGTAAATTTAATTAAAACAATAACAGATCCTGTAAACTATGAACATTTTGTTAACGTCTTGTCATTGAAGTTTTTACTATTGCTTGAGTAATGTATTGTAGTTGGATTTTCTACAAAAATGTGACCCAAGCTCACAAACAGGCTGTAAACTCGCACAGCACTGTATTGAGAAACAAGCCTCAATAGCCAGAACATGCCATAAAATATGAATTTTGTGTGAATTGGGTTTTTGTGTAATAAATAAAGTATAATTATTAATCTTACTATTCCTGAAAGATTGAGTTTAAAATTCAAACTGTAAAAGGCAAAATTTAGCCATTTTCAAATGGGAGTTAGTGAAAATAAATAGGAAATTTCCAAAAATAAGCATTTTTCTCAAAACTTGATTTGAGAAAGTTGAGAAGATGACAATTATTCAAACGGTCATAACTTTGCATCCAGACACCCGATTGAGTTCATTTAACTGTCATTTTAAAGTAAATGATATGTTCTATGCCATTATAACAAAAACTCATTTTGGCTTGAGGGCGAGTTTACAGCCTGTTTGTGAGCTTGGGTCACAAATGTGGTTTTCGTGCATAACACCAGTAACGACTCTTTCAGCTTCCGGTCGCGGGTCACCAACGCATCCTCCAGAAATTTGTTTAATATTTATAAAACAGTATTAGCATTATGTTTTGCTGTGAATATAGAAAAGGTTTGATACTTGTAAGTTTTAACTGTTATTCATTGGTGATCTCTAAAAACTGACTGAATGTAACACCCGTAACTGTGGGATCTACCATAGCGCTTTATACCAAAGTCTCAAAGTGTTCAAGGTGTGGAATAGCTCGTACAATAACTTGCTTCTCCCCTAGTATCTCTTCATTTCTGAGCTACCTGGTAAATCGGTACCAGCTGTCTCTCATCTCTGTCCACCCACAACAGGGGCTGTATGAACCTGCACACCAGGAGTAACCCCCTATTTTTTCGAAAGATGTACTGTGTTCTTTTAAGTGCACATGAGCCAAATTGTGTACACTGGGCCTATGGTTTATAGTCCTTATCCAAGAAGACTTGTTCCACCACATGAACCATAGGCGAACGTGCCATTCAAACCTACACCGATATTATGGCTATATTCTTTGTAATAACATTTTTTTTCTTTATATAGCCTAATCTGCACATCATGCTATATTTTTGTAATGACATATTTGCGAAAAATTTTTCTCCCAGGTGGGAAATGGAACTGGCTTGTACACGGACAAGTGCTGGAGGTTGTTGAAACAATGTCGGGCCAGCGCTTGGCCTCGTTTTGTTTTGACAGTGACAAGAAGTGTGTGATCTCATGTGTGAAGGAATATTGCAGACCGGGCACATCACAGTTACTTGTTGGGCTTGATAAGCAAAATGGCGGAATGCTGTGTCTCTTAGATGTCACAACGTCACAAATTTTGACAAGTGTCATGTTCCCATATAGAGTAAGTGACAACATCAATACAAATTTAACAGTTGGGACAAGGTAAACTGTCTGGTGAATTTTGGAAAAGATTCCAAAAATTCAAGTATGTTATTTGCAATGAGTAAGTGCCTGTTTCAACTGAGGAAAAACACATGTTTTTAAATTGTTAATAAAAAAAACATTTCCCTGCAGCAACAGGCCAACAAACAAAATCACGGTTAGGAATGGGTTCTAAAAATGTGTGATCTGAAGGCCTAGGCTGGTAATAATACTAATGATAATTGGATTTGTAACTATTTTAAGAGGAGCATATTCGGTCTCAGTAGCTGTTCTAAACTAATCATGAAAATCGGTGGAACATAAATTTTAACAATTGCGGTAGCGGGTTAGGGAATTCAAAATAAAAGTACCAGGGAGGATGAAGATCACCTCAGCCCCACCATTCTTGGGGCTGAGGTAAGAAAATTGATAATTATCACCTCTAGGTGGCCGGAAATGGCACTTTATTTTAATGTAATTTCCTTTCCTTCCCATTTCTTTATAATTTAAAAAAACAACAAAAAGCAGGTGATTATGTCTATTTATGAATGGTCCCGAATAGCCTTGGGCCCAAGTACTTTACACTGGCTGCACTGCTCGTAGCTACGTCAGTGTTTTAGGAAGTAGAGAGTGGTCTGAATGAGTGCCCAAGCACATAGCCAGTAACAGCTTCAGTGACCAAAAAATTAAAATTGACTTTTTGATATATTCTCCACATTGTAAGCTTTTTAAAATGATGGGTCATTTACTGGAATCAAATTTCTATTGCCAAAGTTATCTGTGAAAGTATTGTGGCTTTTCTGTACTAAAGTATACAATACTACCACATTCTTATGCTCATACTTAGTTTAACAATTTGCAAAAGTACGCTGGTTTTAGAATGACATGCTTCATACGATGTATTATCAGACATTATTGTTTCTTAACAGGTGACAGCTGTTGAGCCAGTTACCCACACAGGTGGAGTCAATGCACCAAACTTTGCCCTTAGCGATCACCTCAGGTGTTTCTTCGGTATCATTGCTGTGGGCACAGAAGGAGGTCATGTTTATCTAGTTGATCTTCGTCTTGATGATTGCGACGAATATACGCATTCAACCGAGCCAAAAAATATCCTAGTTATAACTCCAGCAATGGCTAACACGCCTGAACTACGAAGAAAATCATCACGTACTGGGGATCACCTATGTTTGGAAGTGGGAGGTTAGTATGCACTGATATTCACAGCCCTACATTAATTTTGTTTTATTCTGTTTAAAAAAAAATCATGTTGTGAATGCAAATCTATGTAAAACGCCACTACGCATGCACAACAGATTGTATTTATTGATGATTGCCTCCGACAATCAGTAGACGGCCTCAACTCGTCTAATGCTCACAGGCAGCGAAGTTTGATTTGCTGTATGACTGTCGTAAGACGCGGTGCCCGGCTGGGATTAACATATTGCATTTGCACATTATACTATCTAAAGGCAAAGGTGTATATATCATTGAGACTTTTCAAAGCCAATGAAATGATAGGGAGCACAGCATGTTTACATTTCAATTTTTTTTGACTAATTAAAATAATTATAAAAAAAATAATAAATAATAATTTAGAGAAAATAACAGTTATTCGACATCAAATGATTTTCTTTCAGGGGCTGTTTTTTTTTATTGACGCCATTTTTTTATTGATGCCATTCTGTTAATAAAAAGAGGATGAAAAAGGATTATCTTTTTGCAAATAGTAAATAATATTATTAATAATTACTGTATTTTGTTAATAATGATATTGATTTTGATTAACTTCAGATAATTTTCATCAAAATCGTCAATATAATTATTCAAAACCCAGTGGTGATGTGTTGAAAGCGTTCCAGAGTGGCAATATCTGCGTGTCGGCCTTGACCTACGTGCCTAAGCTCGGGTCGTTGCTTGTTGGCTTTGACTTTGGATGCTTCCAGGTGTGGCGGCTGGCTGCACCCATACTTGAGTAAGTTTTGTAAAGTATTTTTTATTTTATTTTCATCTAAGTAGCTTTAATTTCAGGATAGACAAAGAGATTTGAATAAAAGGGATATAGAGAGAGCCTTGTTATTTAAATTAAATGTTTTAAGTGGAACAACTGTTTCAAAAACAAGTTATCGGGCAATCTTTACACTTTGATCTAACTGCATGCATGCACACGCCATTACAGACAATATCACACAACAATATATGAACATCTTGATAATATATCGATGATATTTGTTAATTATTCCAACAGGTTCAGTAGTCCTTTAACACAGGTCGTCTCACCTATAACACACTTTGCTTACATGGAACCAGATGATGATCCAGAGAACTTCTCCTACCTGATGGTTGCCAGGGGACCGATGGTTACAGATATCAGGTGTGTTTCTTTTTCTTTGTTTTGGGAAATTTATTTGTAGGAACTATTCCACACCTCAAGCAGTTTGGCATTTTTTGGTGTAAAGCACTATATAAATTCAATATAGTACAAGGCCCCTAAAGTCTGGTTTCCATACAATCGCTACACGCTATCACCTTTCGGTGATTCTGATTGGTAGGTCGAATCAGGGAGCCTTTCCGATTGCACCGGAAACTGCTACACAGTAAAATGGTTGCATTGAAAATACTGTAGCGACAGTGTAGTGATTCTGTATTCTTATTCTAATTATTTAACGGCATTGTGTATTTTTGGTTATTTATGATTCTGCTTATTAATATTTTGTTTAATTATTATGGTTAATTATTATTGGTATTATTATTTTATTATTATATTTATAAATTTTGATATTCCTACTTTTTTATATATTATTATTTTGCTAGTCCATGTTTCCCCAATTGCTTGGAGAGCCCCTTAGACAGTAATTTATTTTACTTTTTGGCAATCCCGCCGGCCCTTGGGAAAACATGGATTAAATTTTTTCGTAGATTTTATTATATTTTGTACATGAACAAGTCAAAAATACCGTAGATGCTTGAATACGCGCCACTCTCGAATAACCACCACTCTCAAATAAGCACTTGCGCGTTGTGACGTGTGCGTACGCATAAGTAAATATTTAAAAATGCTCAAAATTATGCTTTTTTAAAAATCCTGAATTAGCGTATACTTTAGGCCATTTTGAGCATTAAAAATTTTTCAATCAACGTCGCGCAGGCTTCTTGAGAGTCCGAGTTCGGCGGATCACCTAACTCGTCCTAAGTGACGAGTTCAAATCTAGTTATTTATATTATTATTTTTGTTAATTAATATTTCTTTTATTCCTACTATTGCAATTTTATTATCATGATTATATTAGTTGAATAATCAATTATTCCTTTTTCATTTGGCAGCCCCGAAGTGGTAACAGACTTACATTTATTTCAATTAGCTTACGAAAGGAAGGAATTTTATCCTGGACATGGTTACATGTATCATGTAAGTAGTAAGCATTTTATTGTTCCAGTTAGTGGAGTGTTACTGGTAAAGATGTTCGTTTCCTAACCTGAAGCTTTGTCCATATAATCAAATTTTCAGTTGACAATGCCCATATATAGGCATGATGTGCCTATATATGGTTATGATGTGATGTCATCGTGACCATATTTAGGTATGTCCCATAAAATTTGGTAGTCTGGACAGGCTATTAGAGTCCTTTGTGGGTTTTACACCCGCACATATCGTCGATCACATTACAAACTACTACAATCAAAGTAGATTGTGTTAGTTGGTGAAATCACAGTAGCGCATCAAAACGAGTGAGTATTGGTTGTCGGGCACTTTCGTATTCCTTAGCACACAAAAAGTCTAACAACAACTGCGCGTATTTTGACGCACTTTTGTAATTTCACGAACTAACACAATCTAATTTGATTGTGTTAGTTTGTGATGTGAGCGACGATATATTTGTATATCCTATCAAAATGATTGGTTACATTCTTAAGCTCTGTCTGCACTATCAGATGTATGGATTAATATCATCAAAATACATCAAATGGCATCAAATAATGTGATGTATTTTTATAAAAAAGGAATTATCAAATTCCGATTGGTTGGTGTAATTTTTAGTGTTTGCTTATTGGTCAAAAAGTGTTTTCTAAAAAATTTGACAGATGACATGAAAAAAGTTCAACATTTTCAACTTTTTTGATACATTTTGAAATAATGTGATATGACATAATTGTGCCCATATATGGACACATCACATTTTTTGTCACATAAAATTTGATAGTGTAGAGAGAGCTTAAACCCTACCCAGTCTATCAAATTTTATTTTACAAAAACATCTGACATGTCTAGATTAAATCATGACCATATATAGACAGATAATGACTATATATAGTATATCATGACTATATATGGGCATACAACAGTTTTTTTGTTGAACAAAATTTGATAATGTGGAATGAGCTTAAAGCCCTATTGAAACTATCAAATTTTATTTGAAAAAAATCATGTGATATGCCTAAATATGGTCGTGATGACATCACATCATGACCATATATGGGCACATCATGACTATATATGGGCATACATCAGTCTAGACAGGGCTTTACATTGTATTGTTTGAACTGATAGACTATTGATTTGTTTGTTTTTTTTAATTTATTTCAGGAATTTTACAATTGTGAAGCAAGGTTTGAATTTGCACTCACAGCAGATAATTTGAACGCTGAAGACACAACGTCAATAGGAAGTCGATTGATCTCTTGCTACACAGCCCAGAAAAAGAAAACGAGGGGAGACGATACATTTCACGAAGATGAAGAGGACCAAATTGATCTAGGCCTGGCAGTGTTTTGCTGGGAAGCGTCATTGACAGCCGTCGAAGGCTCCTCCACCCCACTGTGTTTCCTGGCTCTGTTTGATCTAAACCGTTGGTACCATGCGCAAATGCCAGCTACTGTTAAGTATGTTCATTGGTGTAATTTTTAATAACAAATTCAAATTTACTTGGCTGCATGCAACATCAAAGGGAATAGACCGGTTTTAGAAGTGTTTATCTCTAGTTGGTCTCTTCATATAACTCTAGAATTTTGTAATCTTATTTTTGCCATCACCTACAAGTGTTGATCTTGCTATGTATTCTAATGTGCGAAACAGAACAAATATATATTTTTAAAAAACTAAGATTTTCACTTGAACAATAGTTATCAGCAAATTGTATTTTAAAAAATGCAGACGTTGAAAATATTTTATATTAAATGAAAATTGAATGATTAACTTTTATGTTTTTTTCCATTACATGGAATAAATGAATATCACCTTTAAATATGTTGTCAACAATATAGATATTGAATTGATTTCTACAGATAGAATGAATGTCACTCCAAAAATTGACAATGCCATTTTATTCTATGTTGCACTTTTATTTAAGCATTATCAGTGACGTTAGTACTATTTGTACTTAAACTTACTGCACATCCTAATTGTTTCTACAATAATTATTGAAGCAATTTTTTATGGTATTTGAAAATGTTTTACTAAGTGAACCCTTGTGTTGGACTTCTTTTGGACGTCCATAGATATCAAAAGGTTTATATCTGCAGGATGTTTTTTTAAGATGTGTAATATAAAAGATATATTTTTGTATTTAGTGTTGAAACATCAACTAATTTGAGCACTGATTTCCTTGTTCAGGTTTATACAAAGGACTGATGTCTGTCCATATTTAGCTTTCTGTTCAATGGAATCAATAATGGAAACTTCAAGTCCAGATGTTCTCCTAGTAAGTAATAACATATACCCAAGACACAGTCTTTGTTAGAATCTAAAACATCCAATTGAAATACAGAATTTATAATTTAAACAATCACATAATTTAATTTTAGCCAATAAGGTGTTTACCTTCAAATCTAAATATTCTGGGTTCAATTTCTTTCAGTGTACAGACATTTATAAAAACTTTTTGAAAGGATGACCGTTCCAGCATATCTCAGAAGGTCGGCTGATGGACAGAGACCCTCTCAAATAATTAAAATAATGTGATGCTTTATCAGTGAAGTCTCATTATGAGCCTTAGAGAGTGGAGATGTTTTGTAGTTTGTGAGTAAAAAATCCTTGTGCTATCACAGGATTTGAATCCAGGACACTGGAATTGGAAGGCAAACACCTTAGCCACCAAGCTACATCTCTCACTACACTTGACCAAAATAAACATCTTCTTTTCCTAAGCCACATAGTAAGGGTTTATGTAGAGTATATTGTGTGTATGCTTGGCTTGTGTATTTTATACTGTTACTTGCATTAACCCTGTTGAATGAAATGGAATACTGTATAAATACAATGAAGACAGTATTGATTGATTGATTGATTGATTTTGGTTTACTGATTGATTGAAAGATTTACGGATTGATTTGATTGACTAGCCTGCAGTGCTTTCAATATAGAGTTAATGAAGATCTTGAGATAATTTCTTTGCGGTTTTTTTTCTTTCAGGATGCATATGTAGATACATCGTTTTTGTCGCGGTTTGTTTCGTCCCAAATTCCTGCTCCAGAGCATCACTTCTATCCCTCTTCACTCAGCTTCAGTGTATCCTGCCTTATGGAGACTGGACTTGTTGAGGCTAGCTTTAAAGGTCACCAGAGACAGGTAATGCTTCCAGGCTATGAAGATGATTGTGATAATGACAATGATAATGATGATGATTATGGCAATGATGATTACGATGTTGATTATTAATATGTTAATAATGATGAAACTGAAGATGATTATTATACTGATGATTGTTGTGACAACAAAAATGTTTAAGCTTTTTGTATTGCTGCATTCTGTTTACTGTCATAAAATATATTTATCTATTATATTTATTTCTAAAATTGTCTTTAATTAGGTATTACATGATATAATGAAGCAAGGGCCAGGCTGTCTAAGGTCACCACTGGCACTGTATAACCACAGCCTTGCAGCAGGCCTGATCATTCCACGAAATGACTACCAAGTAGGCGCTGTTCCAGTGGTATGTTAAAGATGTTACACTTATGATATAGTTTTTAAAGACAAGCGGTCTGTGGTATAATAACAAACAATGGAATTGCTTATTTGAACAAGTTATTATCATCCAATTAAACACAAATGAAAACAATTCAGTTTTTACTGTTTTATAGATTTTTTAGCATAAAGTTCTTAAAATTAATTACCAACCAATTTCAGGGTCTGATTTGTAGTTTAATGGTAAAGACAGGCATACATGGATTTTTTTAGTGTTTGATTAGATATCTTATGACATAGAGAATTGTTTGTCCAACTTTCAGTGACCAAGGGCAGACATGTGAATAATGTTAAAAACATGTGTTATGCCCAAGTATGGTCATGTTGACATCACATCATGACCATATATAGGCACATCATGACTATATATGGGCATACAACAGTTTTTTTGTCAAATAAAATTGATATTTTGGACAGGGATTTAAACTTGGGCACATTGTTTGATCAAATAATGTTTTCTTAAGCCCAGTCTAGGTTGTCAAATTTTATTTGACAAAAAAAACTATTGTATGCCCATATATTGTCATTATCTGCCTATATATGGTCATGATGTGATGTCATCATGACAATATTTAGGCATGTCATATTTTTTTGTCAAATTAAGTGTCTAGACAGGGCTTTAGTCTGACAGACAGACAAATTTATAAATAGTGTGTGCCTATTCAATTTGCTAGGTCTAAGTGTTTACAGTTTGGCATAATATTTGATCAGACAGCACTTGGTTAGTCTGACAGACAGTTTTGATGACGTGTACCTATCATTATTTTCAGGCGGCTCAACGAGAAGCGCTCCTGTCTATGTGCTTAGAATACAACCTCATTAGCTTCTTGGTCACTTGTATATCAAGTTGGTCAACTGGGGGTAAGTAATTTCTTTATATAAAATAATTGTAATAAATATATGATTAATTTTTTACACAGTTTTATCGTAAAAAACATACATTTAGCGATAGTAGATAGTAGATCTTTTTTTAATAGATGTAATTGATCTAATATTTTAATTGCTGTCAATTATTATATATATAAAGTATAACAAAATATTTATTGAAATTAATTTCATTACTTAAATAATTGCTATTTTTACTTTTTAGACTATGTCACAGGGTTAACTTTGAGGACAGTACTCGACTGGGCCTGGCAAACTGTTGCCAGAATCAAGGAGGTCATTGATGAAAAATGTGAGTCTGGCAACCATTGGAATATTGATAATTTAGCCCAAATAATTCTCTGCCTCTGCAAATTGTCACTGATTGTAACAGAAATGATCTATGTTTAATCAGTTAAAGCTCTGTCCACACTATCATATTTTCTTTGACAAAAAACTGTTGTATGCCCATATATAGTCATGATGTGCCCATATATAGTCATGATGTGCCCATTTATAGTCATGATGTGCCTATATATAGTCATGATGTGCCCATATATAGTCATGATGTGCCTATATATGGTCATGATGTGATGTCATCATGACCATATTTAGTCATGTCACATGTTTGTGTCAAATTAAATTTGATAGTCTGGACAGGGCTTTATATAAAGCATTCAAATTGTATCCCAGAGTTAAGCTTTTTTTTTTTTATTAGGCTTTGACCCTTCATGTAAAACTATTCATATTTAGTATATTCATATTAAGAGTATGAATATACTAAATATGAATATACTAAAACTATTCATATTTAGTATATTCATATTTAGAGTATGGATATACTAAATATGAATATACTAAAACTATTGATATTTAGTATATTCATATTAAGAGTATGAATACACTAAATATGAATATACTAAAAGTATTCATATTTAGTATATTCATACTCGTAATAAAAACAATAGTATACAGGGTTCGAAATAACGCTGGTCCGCCGGCCAATGGCTAGTAAAATGCATGGCGGACCTGTTAATTATCCCAATAACAAGTCCGCGTGACCAGTTAAAATGTCAATGAAAGTCTGACGAAATACCTAAAGCTTTAATCATTCACCTCTTAACGATGTCTTTACAAAATATTTCACACATAAGAGTATGAATATACTAAAACTATTCATATTTAGTATATTCATGTTAAGAGTATGAATATACTAAAACTATTCATATTTAGTATATTCATGTTAAGAGTATGAATATACTAAAACTATTCATATTTAGTATATTCATGTTAAGAGTATGAATATACTAAAACTATTCATATTTAGTATATTCATGTTAAGAGTATGAATATACTAAAACTATTCATATTTAGTATATTCATGTTAAGAGTATGAATATACTAAAACTATTCATATTTAGTATATTCATGTTAAGAGTATGAATATACTAAAACTATTCATATTTAGTATATTCATGTTAAGAGTATGAATATACTAAAACTATTCATATTTAGTATATTCATGTTAAGAGTATGAATATACTAAAACTATTCATATTTAGTATATTCATGTTAAGAGTATGAATATACTAAAACTATTCATATTTAGTATATTCATGTTAAGAGTATGAATATACTAAAACTATTCATATGTTAAGAGTATGAATATACTAAAACTATTCATATTTAGTATATTCATGTTAAGAGTATGAATATACTAAAACTATTCATATTTAGTATATTCATGTTAAGAGTATGCAATGCACAAAATATTTGAACAAGCATTAGTCTGAATATCTCACCCCTCCCCTTTTAATCCCAAAGTTTTTCAGGTTTTTTAAGTATATTTACCATTTCATTTATCTTTTTGTTTTAGGTATATTCTTGTATAATGGTTATGGTAATTACGTTGAGGGCCTGGTAATGCGGATGTTGGATAAGTACTCAATCCAGTTGAACCATATCATCACCATCTTCCAGGCGTTGATTGAACAGTCTGTACAAATTACTCAGCAGGGTAAGTGCTGCTATCATATTATTCTCTGCTCAGACACTTGTTTGTGTAGGTAGATTTTATTTTGTAAACACATATGTCCATATTTAATGATAACTGTACGGCTGTCCCGAGGCAAAACAGCGTAACTGACATTTTTGTCGATTTTGAGGTAATATCATTTAGGAGTATATTAAACACTTCTGAATTACCTGTGAAAATTTCAGGTCTCAACAGTGAGTCGTTTCAGATATAGCACCACTATCTTTAGGCACAAACTTAAAATCTAGTGATTTTCCGTGGTAAAAAAACGGAACTACAAGATTACGGGGCAAAACAACGTATCTACTATAAAGGTACGTTGTTTTGCCTCGGAATGGTATTCAAAAATTGTTTAGAGCAGATGGAGTTTGGCAAGGTGAAATCAACTGGTTATTGGGGTTTCCATATCAATAATCCTTACGACGACGTATGAACAAGCTAAATAATGCATATGATTGCCCCCAAACGTGATAAATTGCAAAAATATGTCCCATTTGCAACAACACAGAGTCTGACATGTTTCTGAGGCAAAACAACGTATCCTGTGAATATCGCTAATAACTTTGCAATAAACAAATGGTTGTAATTAAAATTTTACATAGAATCACAATATATACAGATACAATCCTGCAAAATTTCAAACGGGTACGACAATTTATTACCAAGTTGCAAACATGCAAACTTTAACTCTATTTTTCTTCAAAAGTGAAAATTTCAAGTTACATTGTTTTGCCACTGAACAAACATGTAGGCCAAAACAAACATCAATACAAATGTCAGACAGTATGACTTCCGTGTCAACATATTGGAAGTTTCACTTTCTGTAACTCGGAATGTTTGTAACCGTGCTGCAGACTTTTTGCAACCTGGATATTTCATAAACTTTCATTATGTTTTGGTTAGGAATCATCAGTGATACATTCATATAAGCCATACAGAAAACAGTATGTGTATACAGGCTCATTTTTGTATTTACAGACACATTTATATCTAATTTAGACACTGATAGACACTGATAGATCTAACGTCTTCATGTCTACCTACTATATATATATATACAAACTCTCTTGTATTAAAATACACACAACTGTAGTAACTAACAGATAGATTTTTAGGTCTACAGACATAATAAAATAATAATAATAATATGTCGTTCTTATATAGCACTTAATTAGGTCAGCAGACCCTTTGTTACGCTATACATGCATCGTTTAGCCATTATACAAACGGGTTTAGGTCTGCAGAAACCTGTGTGGTTATACATGCATTTGGATGCCAATACAGATAGTAATGTAAATAACAGACATTCAGGTAACTTAAGGTGTGCCATAGGAACGCATTAATGAATTTTTTGCGATATACTGTAGGTGTTACATAGTATTTCTGCACAGCCACCTTTATGTCATGTCCTATACTAACACTTTATATTAATATACCGTAAATGCTTGAATAAGCACTGCGGTGCTTATAACATTTTTTGACGTTTCAGTGCAGCGCTTATTCAAGAGCGGTGCTTAAAAAAAAGTACTTGAGTGGCGCTTTCCACGCCCGTTCCCATATTACCTATCTAACATATTTCTGTAGTTCAGTAGGCCTAATGTCTTCATTGCGTTATTTATTCATTTTACCGCTACACATTGTATTAAAACCCTGTTTCTCAAAGTGTTTCATTGCACACAGGGTATATACTCTTGATTAAGCGCCACCGCGCTTATTCAAGAGCGGTGTTTAGCAAAATAAATCAGGTTTGGTGCGGTACTTATTCAAGCATTTATGGTACTGATACATTTATTACTTCTACTGACACCTGTAAGTTTTATTTTATATATCGACACCTGTAGTTTGTGTAATATTAACACATGTTTGTCATATTTTGACACCTGTATGTCTTGTACCCACCCATGATGCTATTTACTGACACATGTATGTCCTAAATTGACACCTGTATATCTTATACTGACACCTGTATATTTTAAACTGATACCTATATATCTATACTTGCACCTGTATTAATACTACACTCTACTGAAACCTATATCTTATACTGACAACTGTATGTCATATATTGCCACCTGTATATCTAATACTTACAGTGCATCCCTGTATAACTATACTGACGCCTATATATCTCATACTGACACCTGTAATGTATATCTCATATTGACACCTGGAATGTCTATCTCATATTGACACCTGTATGTGTTACACTGACAACTGTACATCTATAGCCATGTATTAGCACCTGTGTTGGTTTGTATTTAAACAAATGAAAGTGTGTCTTAACTGACAGTACAAAATATCCCAATATGTATATGCACCTGACTGTTAAAAAAAAAAAAAAAAATCTGTTTCTTGGCAACTTTGTGACAGACAGATACTTAAGGTCACACTCCTAAAAATTTATTTACAGCATATAAAAAATATGTTTTCCACCGGAGCCTGATTTTAAGGTTCTGTACTCACAACACCATGTCTTCATACAATGTGTGTTTGACTAAATTTATGGATACGTGTATTTGACTAAATTTATGGATATGTGTATCTGCCACCAACACATTATCCAACATTCATATTCAAATTAGTAAAATTTAGTTAGTTTTACTTGAGTCGGAAATTGTTATTGGTCGATCCTCATAAATCGGTTCTCCTCTCATTTGGTTGACGTGATGAAGTCGTTTACACACTTCAAACCATTGATTCGTACAGTTATTTCCATTCACAGCAATACTTTCCATAGACCCCTGTCGCAACGTAATCGATTTCAAATTCACGAGTGGAGTGAACAAATCACATTCTAGATATTCCAAAGGGTTGTATTCCAATTTGAGTTTTGTTAGCCGTTGCAGGTGATGAAAGGCATCTTGGGTTATGTGTGAAATCCGATTCTCACTAAGATCAACTTTTTCAAGTTTACCAAGTGAGGGCGACATAAATTCATGCGTTATATTTACAAGGCCATTATTCTTCAACTCCAAATTGATGAGCTTCGGGTAATTTAAAAATGCGCCATTCTCAATTGTGTGGATCCTGTTGTTGGCCAACCCAAGGCGCGTCATCGCTGTCAGGTTGCCACTGTCCTTCGTGACAATGGAAATGAAATTTGACCCAAGGTAAAGCCGCTTAAGTTTCGGTGTACAAGTCTGCAGTAGTGCAGGAAAGTTCACTAGCTTATTATTACTTAGATTTAGGACTAGAAGAGCGGTCAGGCCTTTAAAGGTGTCGGCAGTTAGTATTGTTAGGTCGTTGTTTCGTAGCACTAGCTTTTCGAGATTAGTAAGATTACTGAACGTGAAGTTGGCTATCTCACGTAAATTATTTTTCTTGAGATTGAGTTCTCTTAGTAATTTGAGGTTTTCAAAATCCTCAGAACTTACACTTAACATCTGGTTATCCCCCAACTGAAGGTCAGTAGTGTTCTGTGACAAGTTGCTGGGAACCTTCGTGAATTGCAAGCTGGAACAGTTAGTGAGACCCTTGGCTTCATTGCATTTGCAATGAGTTGGACAAGTGAACGACGAAAGAACAGACAGTGATGTTCCGAATAAAATATTGATGCTGACGACATAGATAAATTTTGAATGTGTAGTCCCTTCGTTTATTATCATCTTGAGTCCATATTCAAATCAAATTTTGTATAATAAAAAATTTGTAGTCCTATAAAGAAAGGAAGAATGGTTGTTAAAAACTTACTTATCCTGAAATCCAAACCCTGTGTTAAATAATAGAACGAAGCACACTGTTATTATTTGATTATTTATAGGCACTAGCATATCATCAAAACATTATTGAACCTTCTTACTTTTCCTTGACTCTACTTAATGACATGTACAGTATTGTCTACATTGGAATTTAGTTGAATGTGGTTAAGATGCTTGCCTTCTAATCTCAGGGTCCTGGGTTCGATTCTTGTCACAGCAGAACTTTTCCTCACGACTAAATACAACTCCACTCCCTAAGCCTCGATAAGAGACTTATAAAGCATCTTTCCATTGAGTAAGTGGCAAGTGTACTTGCTGTTGGATGTGAAGGAACTAAAACAAAAATTTAGTTTGTATACAGTAGTTATAGTAGGTATTAGCTTTCTATTAACTGAAATGATGTTACAGTATATAGCTTTAATTATTTTTGTCAGAATTATTTTATGTTTAGTAAATCGGAAAAATTTGCAGTTTAATATTTTAATTAATTTTGTAGTTTTACAGATTCTTTTAACACAAAATGATTATTAGTAGTAGATAGGAAGTAACATTATTATTAACATTATTATTATTATTGTTATTGTTATTGTTATTATTGCATTATTGTTATTTATTTTAATTTTCTAATTCATATTTTTATTTTTTATTATAATTATTATAATAATTTTAATTATTGTTATCAACTTCATGCCAAAATTTGGTTCGTCACCAACACTTAGTAATGTTTTCCTTGTAACTTGGTTAAATTTTTACAAAAATTTCATTCATATCATCATCAGTTGATTAGTTTTTGAAATGTCTTGTCTAGGACATTTGCTCTTAAATCCCCTTAAATGGTCCTCACATCCACACCCTACTACGAATCGTCACCAAAATTTTATCATTTCTACATTTGGCTGTACCTAACACACCCTGCCTGTTATTTTCAATTATGTCTGTGCAGCCGTTTTGAGATATTTCGCACACAAAAAAAAAACCACATTAATACACAAAAATGTTATACACACACCCCGACATGCACACATACACAAATTTACATGACTGAAAAGATATATCTCCTGGCTAAGATAATAACAATTTAGTAAAATATTATAACCTCCTCATAGCAGTAGTTGTACGTCTGCTTAATTGATCTCATTCCCACAGCGTAGGCTTACGCCTAGAATAGGTATGCCACTCAGCTAGAGTGGTTGTTGGTTAATAAATTAACCTAAATGACACCATCTTAGGAATGATTAGTAAATACAGTATGTTACTACCCCTACCTCATTTTAATATTGTTGTTCGCAAAACACTGCAGTCATCTTTAAACCTGAAGAGGATTTAATCGTTGAGCAGTCACCTTGTTGATCCATTCATTGGTTTTTTTTTTTACCGATCTGGCTGTTGCCATGGTTACTCATCAAACAGCACAATACAATTGATATTTTCTGGTTGGCTGAATAAAATCCAATTTAAGTGCCTGACTGGCTATGATTCAAGGCCTGTCAACAATGCAAGGTCAAGTCTATAATTGTGTTGTAACAAACATAATGCTGTACAAAATACTTTATTGTTCATATACATACAGAAAGGAGTATATTATATTACAGTAACAATAAATGGATTCTAAGTAGCCAAACAGTAGCTGAAAGGTCCGTAATTGTTTGGGCTGATTGTTGTATCCATTTTATGTAGGTTAAAACATCAAAATATTGTAATATATTTTTTTTAAAAAGCTTACTGAAAAACAAATAAAAACAATCTTTGGCTAGATTTGCTGTCAGATTTTTATTTGTCAGACTCAAAAAAATATTTGGTCAGATTTTGTCTGATGAAGTACATCATTTTTGGACAAACTTGTTCTATTACCTGTAGGAAATGTACACAGTCAAGTCTGATGAGATTTTTTCAGTTGATTGTCATATGTAACTGCTGTAGAAATTCATTAAAAGTATCATGGTGTAGTATTAACATTCAGTACAAAACATTGTTGACAGTTACACATTTGAAGATCTTTATATCTAGAAAAAAAAAATAGAGAAAAAAATCTGTTTCAAAATCAACTGTTTACAGATATCTGTTTACAACTTTGCATCAGTGAAGTTGATTGACAGATTAAATGCTTTTCTTTCATACATAGTATATAGAATAATTTGTTAAATATATTAAACTTGACATTTTTTTCCCTGACCTAAAGTTTTGACCTTTGACATTATAGGTCAGGCTGATCTAGAGACCAAGCTAAATGTTATAATGCTGATATCCAATCACCTTCAGGCTGTCATTTGGTTCATCAGAGTCGGGTTACTACCAGAGTGTCCAGGTATTAACTTTAAATGTTTCTCTTGCATGAGCAGATTTCAAATATTATATTGTGCAACTCAGGCAGTTAAGGATAATGACCCCAGAATGATTGTATTTTAAACTGACAGTAAGGGATTAATGTGTGCTTATGTCAACTTGTTGGAGCCACTGTTTCACTTCAAAATTTTACTTTATTAATTATTTACTATTACTTCTCTGTACGTTTAATCAGTATATTTATATTTATCTTTTATTATTTCATTTTTATTTATTAGTTAATATTTTTTATTTTAAAGAAAATTATATTTCATTGTAAAGATAGGTTAAGATAAAATTTATTATTAAATGATACATATAATTATTTTGGTCTTACAGCATGTATAATTTGTTTAAATTAATTAAAATTGGTTTTAATTCTACTTAGATGATGGACAGCCCAACCTTGATGGCCAGTTCCTGTACCCGGCCAACAGGCTTAGGGAAGCATTCAACCAACGGAGGCAGGAATTGCAATCTTTTACACGGTAAGAAGAATGCAAATGCAATGTTGATTGAGGTAGTCCTAGTTGTACTGGTGGTTGTAAGGATTGTGGTATTGGTAGTAGGGATTGTGGTCGTAGTGGTTCTAGGAATTGTGGAGTGGTGGGGATTATGTGGTGGTAAGTTTTGTGTGGCAGTAGGGATTGTGATAGTGGTAGTACAGTAGTAGTGGTGGTGGTAGTAGTGTTGGTAGGAATGGCAGTAGTGTTTGTGGTTTTACTAGGGATTGTGGTAGTGGTGGTAATAGTAGTGATGGTGGTACTCCGTAGTAGTTGTACTAAGGATTGTGGTACTGGTGGTAGTGGTGATGGCAGTAGCAGTGGTGGTAGGAATTATGTGGTGGGGTAAGGATTGTGATAGTGTTGGTAAAAGGATTGTGTGGTGGTAAGATTTGTTGTAGTGGTGTTAGAAGTGATGATGGTGTTAGGAATGGTAGTAGTTTTTGTGGAGGTGGTATGGAATTATGGTACTAGTGATGGTGAATGTCATAGTAGTGGTAGTAGTGATGGTGGTATGGTTGGCAGTTAGTGCAGCTGGTGGCGGTAGTGCTTTGTGATGGTGATGTATTATTATTATAGTATTAATGCTGGTGTTAGAAAAGGTAGTAGTGGTGTTAGTGTGGTGATAGTGTTATGTTGATGATAGTGATTACAATGATAACTGAATATGCAAATTGATTGTGAATATTGATTTTGCTAATTCATATTTTAATCTCCATTATGACTAATTTTAGACATGCATCCATTCTGTATTAAATATGCAAAATGATTTATTTCTCAGTTCGGGTGGTGATAGTGATATATTAATGATTGATGGTATCATTGATGAACTCGGCGACCCCATCTCGCATCTGTGGGACCGAAAGGAGGAAAGCGGTGGTAACGGAAAATATCCCCCTCCCAGTTTACATGTATGTCTGAGTCTTCTGAATATGCTTTCTGTATTTTAAAAGCAAACATGAAACTTTGTGTTGCTAAGTATACAATAACATTTAAAATTTAACTTTATGGCTGTTCTTAGCATGTGTTTACAACCTGTTACAGCATAGCAATTTTTCTCTACTAAAAACATCTCTTTAAGCCTTTTAATGGGAATTAAATTTTGTCTACACTTAAATTTTGTGACATAATAACTGATAGACCCATATTTGGCTATAGTATATCATCATCATGCCCATATATGAGCACATCGTACACATTATTTTATTTATTTAAAAGAGTCGCTGAATATCAGGTGTCCTTTTCAGATAATAATTATATGGGTAAAAAATAACCTTATTTTCTTGATTTTTTTTTATAGTAACTTAGGCACTCAGAACATGCTTTTAACCTGATGTTTTAATTTTTTTTTTATAACAACATAGGCACTCTAGACATTAAGTAAATGCTTTTCATTCATACACAAATATAGAATATTTTGTTCAATATATTAGACTTCATATTTTTTTCTCTGACCTATTTGAACTTTGAAATTAATTTACAGGAACTTAGGTACTCAGAACATTATTTTAACCTTATTTTGTTTATGTATTTTTAATGTGTTTTTCATCCTTTTTTGTGTTCGATTTTTTATTTTTTAGTATTTTAACACTTTTTGTATCTGAGGTTTTAAATAAGTAATGTACTTTTCATTGAATTTATATTTGAATGTATTTTTATATTATGCAAGGTTTTAAATTTTAACAAGCATTCCATTTCTTCATTTGGAGATAATAAAGTTATTCTGATTCTGATATTATTTTTGTATTTTGTTTCTATGGCAACATAGGCACTCTTAGACATTTATTTACTGGAGAATGTGCCTCTTATGACGAAGCATTGCATTGTGGGGTATCTACTCCAGGATCTGCAAATGTGTCTTGATCATGAAAAACATGCTGAGGTAGGAACTTAAAGCTCATCCCAGACTATCAAATTTATTTGAAAAAAACAGGTGACAGGCCTAAATATTGTCATAATGACATCATTATGACAATATTTAGACATGTCACCTGTTTTTGTGACATGACATCATTATGACTATGTTGTTTCTTGAAATCAAATGAACGATCATTAAAGTTTTGTATTAATGTTTGGTTAGCAGAAGTACTGTATTTTATGTTTGTAATGGTATCCTGTTTACTTATTTTTAAATGGGGGTTAAACTTGAAGTTTCTTGAACTTAATTGACCTGCATCCACACACAGTTTTTTTCCTATTGTTATGACATATAATTATGAAATATTATTTATGTGAATGTTATTTTGTGTGTGAAAAAAGCTTAATAAAGAAAGAAATGGTAATGGCTGTGTACTTCTATAGCGCATTACAGAACATTCTCTATGCGCTTAAAAAGCAAAGTCTTGGAAGAACAAAATTCTAAACCGAGAAATATCTGAAAACAAACAAAAAAGAGACAGAAGACAGCAGAAGGAATCTGTGTCACTGCTCCCTCCTCCAGCACATTGAGACCCTAAATAAGGCTTGCTGGAACATGATTCACAGGTGCTCCACTGACACAGGCATCTGACTGCCCTATCCAACAACCAGATTAAATGAGTAAAACAGTTTACAATGAATAGTTAAAAATTCCAGACACTATAAAGTGCTATACAAATGGCACACATTTATATTATCGTTTAATATTCTTTTAGCTTCTTAAGCGGATAGGGCAGTTTGAACACACTTTCTGCATACCCCCTGGCGTTGCCAGGTTACTTCATGGATTCTTTCTCCTGGATCATAAAATCTTTGAGGTAAGAAATTTAAACTTTGACCTTTATGAACATCTGCCCACTTACCCAGTGGAAAAATATTTCAATGCTTTTGTTCAAGTTTATTTTGTAGATATTTTTACCTTTTAATTGAATCGATTAAATAGCTTTTTGTGGCTTACATTGTGATTATGACAGTTTCATTCAGCAAAACTAATTAAACATTACTAGTCATGTAAAGGTTACATTACAGTAGGAAATGAAAGGTGCATATGATACATGCCCTTTTGTAGTTAATATAAATTAATTGTTAAGGTATAGTAATTATGTTAATATGGATAGCAATAAATATTTAAAAAAAAACCTGATGTCAGTAACTATCATTGTATCAATGATTCAGACATATTCTTGTATAGAAACCCATAATGGCTAACATTATTATTAACTTGTTTACTATGTATTTATATTTAAGTCCACTATATTGTCATATAATGTTATTTTTAGTTGGATATATTTATTATAGGAATTATACATATTTATATTTATTATGTTTCCTTTTTATTTTTTGAGCTTGTGCTTTAAAGTTAGATTGTAGACTTGGAGGATTTATGGAAACATATAAAACAAGAAATTTAACACTTGTTTTAAGCAGTAATAAATTTGATGTTTGTTTTCATTTTTCATATTGTATTGTTTGTATGAAGGTCCTTTACATTAATATAGATACTCCTACTGGCCAAAAATTAACCAAAAAAAAAAAAAAAACCTCAAAAAACTGGAATGAAACTTACAGACCCACTTGACCATTGTACTGTAATTCACCTGATCCCTATTAATCACCCCACCCCTTTGAATCACCTGAACTACCAACTCTTAATAAGTAATGAAAATTGATTTATTTCTACAGGATGCTATAATGACTTTCCTCGACCCTCTAATCAACGTGGATCTACCATCGTGGCAACACCAGCGAATAATGAAAGCGTTCCTTTACCACAATAACAGCAAAAAAGCACTGCATTACCAGCGTATGCGCAGCCCGCCACTCAACACGCTGGAGGATGTTCAGATGCATCTAACTGTTCTTCTTGCCAATGGGTATATGCTTCATCTTTATTAATCTAAGTAGTTACTTAAAAAATGTTTTATTTTCTTGTCGAATACTCTTATAATTGTAATGTTTTTTTGTTTTTAATTAATTTTCAAAAAATGTTGAATGCATTTATGTCATTTGTATAGCAGAAACTAAAGTGGAAACTACTTATAAGTTGTATACTCATCTGTTTGTAAGACATGAAACAAAATATTACTTATAAATTGTATCTATTTTTGAGACATGTAACTAAATATTTATTTTATATTTTAATCATTTGGGTGGTGGAAAATACTGTTGAAGAAATGTGTTATTTTTAGGTACTCTATTTTTTTATGTGTACTGTACTTGTATTTCCTATGTTCTGAGGGCTTCCCCGTAAAGCCAGCCTTACTGAGTGGAACAACCTTTTGAAATGTCAGTGAAGATTTTAAGAATGAAGATAAACACTAAATTATTTACTAAGGGAGAAATAATGAACAAACTTGATTTTTTTTTTCAGATTAACAGCTGAAGCATTTCAATTTCAGAGGAAGTACAATGACCCAGCCTCTGCACAGGACCTCCTTCTCCATCTTTTCCTTGGCTGTCAACAGAGTAAGTCAATCTCTTGTCATAAAATTTAAGCATTTTTTGTATAGATCTCTGAAAGTTCCAAATACACAGTGCTGCAGACAGATATTAATAATAAATTCTTGCATACACCACAGTTCTGAAAAAAATAGTTGTTTTTTAGTGACAGACTCTTGATGTTTGAATTAAGCTGCTTCAGTTTTCGTCAGGAAAATAGTATCCAAGTCCAAGAATGTACTTATATGATTTGGAGAGTGAAGCTCACTGTTCATTAACCAATTTATTACAATTTTTAGTTACATTTAACTGATTGTCTAAATTTCTGTCTAGACCATCAGATTTTATTTAACAAAAAACTGTTGTATGCCCATATATCATCATAATGTGCCTATATATGGTCATGATGTGCCCATATATAGTCATAATGTGCCTATATATGGTCATGATGTGATGTCGTCATGACCATATTTAGGCATGTCATAATAGACTGGAGCTTAAGACTTTTCAGACAGTTTTAGTGAAGAAAACAAAACAACCAATAAAAATTGTGGTTAAAAAGCCATCTACAGTTTGTTCTATAGGCAATTTATTTGTCAAAACAATTACAACCAGAAATTAAAATTATTTATTTTATAAATAGAATTATTTAATATTTAATATATATTTATTTCATAATAATATTTATTCATTATTTACAGCCCACACAATGGACAACCTTTTGCAGCTGCATTTTAATGATGAGGAGGAAGCCATGCTTGTTCGCTACCTTGAAACTAGTACAGAGCCCAACTCTCAGGAGTTGCTTGTGATGCACTTCCTCCAGCGAGGGCGCTATGTCGAAGCTATACAATTAAATGAGCGTCTCAAACAACGAAACTTCATGGTAAGTTGGACTTTATCATTATAAAACAATGCTAAATGTTTTACATTTATGCATTAATCTATTTTTATTGTCATCATTAAACTAAATTATAAAACATCAAAAGGATTAAAAACAGAAACAATAATCAGTGAATTAAGAAGTCAATTCCGGAGATCTGCAGTGGTGGATCTAGGAACTATAGTGGGGGACCAGGGAGAGACTCTGGCAAATTGCGGGAGATTTTGGACCTCTGGCTTCTATAGTACATGAAGAATTAGACATTCAGTTGTGCCCTATGTACAAGATCATAAAGACCTCAAATGTCAGTTTTAATAATAAGGAGGTTCTACCATGCCACCAAATGCGCACACTTCGTCAAACATCCCCATGCTTCGTGTTTGATAGAGATATGAATTCCGAGCTCGAGTTTCACTCAGTGCATTAGCGCTTAAAAGCAGCAGACTTTCTTTAGGCTTCTTCTTTGTGTTCTTTGAAAAAGCACGATTGAAAATTGATCGCCGTAAAGATGTTTCCTCAACTTCTAGCGGGCACCCTTCTACATGTTTGCCAAACAAGTTTAAGTTAAACTTATACACTCCTCTCTTTGTAGGTGTGTATTTAACCTCAAACTCATTGTCCTCGGCCTCGAGTACGCTAACCGAGATTGGTTTAAAGTTGGGGTCCGTGGCTTCAGCGGTTAAACCTTTTGTCAGGATTGGCATATCACGAGGTCTGGGTGTATCAGTTTTTATTAGTATTGTCCGCTGGTTGGTGGTCTTGCATTTAGGTTGAACTATTATGGTACACGCTATTGAAGATTTTGTTTCTGACATTGGTGGCTGTTGAGATTCCATCCAACCAGTAGAGGTATAAGTTTTCGACTTGATATCTGATGGAAACACATTAGTTTTACTTGTCTGTGATGGGCAAAAATCGGCAGAGTTATGATGTAAACTTCCTCTGTGTTCTGATGATATTTTCTGAGGAATATTCCTTTTACAATTCTCCATCATGTTCCTGACTGCCCAATTGTCGGGTATGACTGTGGATATATCTTCTGACGATTCACAGACCATGCGACAGAAAGGGCAGCGAATGATTCCGTGTTTGTAAATGCTTTTGCCGCACAACAGACACAGTGTGTGCCCACAGCGTGGCAGACATTTTGGTCTTCGCGTATCGTTGTCAAAACTACAAAGGCAAATCTGACATGTGAAAAATTGTTCATCAGCTGGATTTGCTGTCATTTTCTCACCACGTTCATTTAATCGCTTCCACATCTGAAATAGATGATAGATTGATGTAATAACATTTGGTTATTAAGAAACAAGTCATTTTATGGCATTCTAAACCGAAGCAATTTCCTCGTTCAAATATTGGCTATACAATAATACAATATTATAATGAATATAAATGCGCTATAATCCAGTCCGAAATGTAGCAATATCCGAGGTTGCATTTTTTTTTGCTATATTTTTTAAAATTTGGATATGATGTAGAGTAGACATTGATAAATCAAAAAAGTATGTGCAACATTTTTTTTTTCATACGTAAGGGGGGTTGCCAGCAGTTTCAAAATGGCCGCCATTTTTTCCTAAAGTGTTCACTAATACTGTAAGTTTATGTCATTAAAATGCAGTA